CATCTCCGATTAAAATAATAATGATGATAGTAGTGATGATGATTCTGAAATAGTCAATATATTGATGATTTGTAAAGTAAACTAGGAATGAACCGTTGCTTTGAAGAAATTCGTTCATTGAACTAAATACTATGTGTTAAATAGCAAGAGATGTATTACAGTTTGAATGCAATTTTGAAAACACTATTTGGTTTAAGTTGTTTTTCAAAAAAACTTAATTTTTCAAATTATTATTTGATACATTGTGGTGAAATATTAATTATATTCCAAAATAAATTGCTAATGATGAGTTTCAAATCCATGACTTTAATTTATATCACAGTGATTCATTCTTGCAACCGTTGTAATAAGTTGAGCGCTACCCAACTTCCACAACAATCACACGACCATAATAATATACGTCATACATACAACCACCCTTACTTTATAACGGTTGGTCAGACGTTATAGTATTCTCTTTTTCAACCATTGTGGTGTACTATTTCTGTAGTATATATATATATATATATATATATATATATATATATATATATATATATATATATATATATATATATATATATATATATATTTGTGTATTTTAATTTTATTTCTGCTCATATCTTTTTGATTTTTGTCAAAGGAAATTTTTTTATGAGATATCTTAAATTTTTAAGCTCCGTCAAAGGTTGAATGTAAGTGGAGTTAAAAAACTTAATTGTGTTGTTCAATGAAAAATTAAATTATTTAAAAATATATTAAAATTCTAAAAATAAAAAAAGAAGACTGAAAATGTTCTATCACTAACATTGTGATTTCATTTGTATCTTGATATTTTGTACATTTTAAATTTGATTTATCATTTTATCGTAATTCTAATTTTTTTATTTTATCTAATATTAATTTATGTTTATTAGAGTTGATGTACCTTATTCCTTATTCTTACTTAGGTTGAAACTGCACAATAAAAACACAATCTTTCAAACCAATTTATTTTTGTAAATATATCTTTCTTTTATAGATGTAATTTTTAGTTTGGTTGCTTATAAAAAGCTACTTCACATTCTTTGAAAAAGTTAAAATATCTATAGTCAAAATAAGTACATAGTAATTCCTCTTGATCACTATTAATCAACCATCCAACAAACTTCTTGATCACTATTAATCAACCATCCAACAAACTTTTCGGCCGACACTAACTTTAAATCAATCTCTCTAATTAAGTTAAAAGTGTTTGCGGTTTGGTTTAAATTATTTTTAATATAAAAATTTATCTAATTCAAATATAAATTTATTTGCAGTTCGATTTGATTTTGAATGATATATTAAAAAAATCTAAACTAATCCAATCTAATTTTATATAATTTAATTTGAATTGGTTTTTGAATATTCAAATTACATATTATATTTTTATTAATATTATAAAACTACTAATAAATCATAATTTTGATATAATATATAACATATAGTATATTAAAAGTTAATATTACAAAACAAAAGTGATCGATTATAGTTGAAATAATAAAAATAAATAAATTATACCAAATTAATAAATATTATATTATTATCTTCTAATAATAAAATCACGTAATATATCATATTAATAAAAAAAAAATAAATATAAAAATATATGTATACAGTTCAGTTTGATTTGGATCACTTTTGAAAACTTAATCCGAAATTCAATCCGGTTGATTTTCACAAAATGACATTCAAACATATTCAATAAATTTTAATTTTTTGCAGTTTTCAATTTTTGAATCAATTTTTGATTTTTGATTTAAATTTGTTTGAATTTGAACACCCTTAAACTAAATCACCCAAATTATTATTTATAAGAGTTTAGATGCTAATTTCAAATTAATCTCTTTACTTCAAAACTTACACGCGCCCTTGACTAATAAAGCTTTTCTTAAACTCATTATGATGACTAATTTGATTAATCAATCACATTTTCAAACTATTTTATTCAATTTTCTAGCTATCAATCGGTCAACCCTACTACATCCGCTAATCTCTTAATTCATCTAATCTCTTGTCAACATATTCCCAAAACCAAGTTAGTTTTGCATTCCACAACTTGTCAATTATTTTAAGCGTTAATCTCCCATATTTCGAAAACAAATTAATTATTTTCTGTATAAAACAAAATTTAAATTCATACGGCAATAACTATCTTGGTTTTATTCTAGTATTAGTTTTCCACGTGCATAGGGAAGGTTGCTAAGGGTTTGAACTGATTGGATACAATTGACCCCTAGGGTCCACTTGCATCGCACAACTTATAATATATAATAATAATATTAAAGTACTATTCTCATACTATACTAGTTGAATATACGAATGTCGTTTTGTTATTATACATTTCAAGTTTATGATATAAATAATTCGTATATTTTCAATCACACGATACCATGTATGATAGTAGAAAGAAATCAAACAAGAACGACTATTAAATTCACCAACAAAAATAAAAATAAAGTAATAGCTGTTTAAACTGTCGGCTATAGATTCATGACCGTGCAATTTTTTTAAAGAAAATATAAAATTTTAAAATTTTCAACCAATAGTAACAAGTTAATGATAAATATATAAATATCATCATTTAAGAGATGTAAGTATTGTATCAATAGTTAGGTGAAGGCCCTATTTTTCTTTATATTTTTAATTTTTTTTACCATGCTTATATTTTTAATTTTTGATTGATATAATACATAAAATGAACTTTTTTTATTAAAAATAAATACTTTGATATCTATAAATTTAAATATATTTAATGCAAAATATCTTAAAATATACTTTTTTTTCTCTTTAAATCAGAGATCATTCACAAATACTTTAACTCTTTAAAAACATAAAATAATATAATCAAACTAAAATAGAAAAATTCAATAAATATATTCATAAAGTCATTCTAAATCTATTTTTATAATATCTATTAGTTATATTTTTAAAATTTATTTTTTGACTCAAATAAATAATAGTCTTTAAAAAAACTTTCTCATCCGCAATTGCATTGAATTACATAATTATCAAACTCAATCACCAATCATTTAATTTAAATTAATAAATACAATTTATCTTAAATTAATAATTAAAATTATTTATTATAAATAATTTTATTTTTTATGGAAAAAGACTTAATTTATAATTAATAATAAAATGTTGAAAAACATATTATATTTTAAAATTATTAAAATTAACAAAAAGCGAGACCATATATTTTTCAAAAATATAAATAATTTCATTTGTTTATCTCCTGATAAACAAAAAGTTTGCATTAATAAAATTAAGATTAATATTAATCTCAATTTTAATGATTGAATTTTAAAATATTCGAGTTAACATTAATTTCATATTAATCAATTAAAAATAAAAATATTCAGCTCAATTCATATTTCACATTATTTTTGATCGATTTTTATATTATCTATTATTCATATAAAATTAATCTCAATTCATTTTATTAAAGTTGAAATACACTAATCGTTAGTTAATTTAATAATGATTAAGTTAAATTTAGTAGGAATAATTGTTGATGAATTCTCACAATTATGATTGAAAAAGTTGAGATGGTGTAGTAATTTGATGTAATATTAGCTAATAATTGTTAATTATAAGTTGGTGTAGTAAGATTGTTAAAAAAAAAAGAAGAGAAAAAGAAGGATAGAGAGAAGAGGGAAGAGTGTTTGATTTAAGTGAGTGACGCGGAGAGGAAAAGAAGGGTAACTCTGTATCTAGCTGGCTGTCGGAGAGATCCCTCTGACCACGTGACTTACCACCTCATCTTTCACCTCTTTTTAAGTTTTAATAACTACTCTCTCTCTCTCTCTCTCTCACACTCTAACCCCCATCGCTTTCTCCATACCTTCCTCCCTATACCCAAAACCATCACATCTCTCTCCGACTCATTCATTCAGATTCAAATTCTCTTTCACTTCAATATCACCATTCTTGCCTTCAATTGCTTCGATCTTCTTCTTCTACGGTATATTTATTATCAACGCATTCCTGCTTTTTACTCTTTTATGCCGCCACTTTCAATTCTCATTCATGCATTTTACTTTTCCTTTGCTTCTCTAAATAGCTTTTCAAATCTGATCCTGTAAAAACTATTTAATGTTCACTGTGGACTCAACAGAGTGGACTTGAAGCTTTCTCTAGTATTGGAATTTAGTATTACAATTCTAACTCTTTTTAGGGAAGTGTAACACAAACAAGAGACAGAATTGTCAATCTCATGAGAAATCATGAATAATAATAATGTGGGTACAGTGTTTAATATTTATGGTTAGTTACACTTGTCTCTGTTTCTAACAGACTGTAACTAATAATCTAACTCTTAGTTATAATAACTCCAATAGAACTCATTTAGGTGTTGTCCATTTCAGATAGCGCCGGATATAGTCGATTCTTAAGATTTCCCTATGCAATAATGCTATAGTGCGGCTGTAGTGGCCATTTGACGATATTTTATACTAGATAGCGTATCGCAAAAGAATACTAGTTTTTTGAATTTTGCTACCGTATAGTGCCGCTATAACGGCTATTTAACGACACTCAGTTATGTTTCATCTGGTATAGTGCTGCCGCGGTTATGTTCCGTCTGGTATAGTGCCGCGATAACGGCTATTTAACAACACGTGGTTATGTTCCATCTGGTATAGTACCACGATAATGGCTATTTAATGACTCTCAGTTATGTTCCCTCTGTAAGATATACTTTGACACACATGAGTACAAGTAAACATAGCGAGAACTATATTGCTCTACGAAGCAAGTTGTCAAGATCTAGATCTTAAAATCTTATAATTGGCGACCTTGCTCAACCCAACGATCTAGTCGTAAAATTGGTGTATTTTAGCAAGATAGCTGCCAAATCTTAACCAATTTGTGAAAAAATCATTGATTCGGTGTGATCCTGGCCAATTTCGACCGTGATCGCCCGTTTTGTGGCCACCACCTTTACAAGCCGAGATGAAACAAGTAAGGAGAATCAGGAAAGAAATGAAGGATGAGGATGACAAGATGTAGAGGCGCAACCGTTACGGTTCAGCGGCGGTGAAGACATGCCTTTTGAAATGATGAAATTTTTATTTAGGGTTTTTAGAGAATAAACATTTCAGTTATAGGAATTATTTTAAACAACGGGTTTAGGCTTATAAACCAAGTAATGGGCTAAATATGTTCCTAATCTCTAACATATGTTTACTATGGTAAATGGTTAATAATGTATAAAAACTCAATCATACATGTCTAAAGAATAGAATATGAAAAAGGCTCATTTCCCCCCAAAAGACACTTGCCTTCCAAAAATAAAAGTGTGAAAATACTTCAAATATATAGTATCATTTTCATAGTAGGATCTCACGATCTTATATTTACGATCTTGCTATCTTATCTCAATCTTACAAAAATAATTGGATAGGATCTTCTGATCTTGATTATGATCTTATAAAAATAATTGGATATGATCTTCCAATCTTGGTTATGATCTTACTACCCCTCCCAATTTTATGCAAGATTTCTATATTGACAACCTTGCTAATAAGTAGGGATAGTCGATCAATGTAGAAACTTATGGGCGGAGATTAAATAAGAAAGAAGAGAGTATGGGGGAGAATCTTTGATATATTAAATAAAAGAGATTAATGAAAATATATGTGCTTTTGGAGACTTTACTTTTGTGCCTCGTGTTAGCTTTGGATGTGTGGTAAGGGACATTACAAGTAGTTGTAATGAGTCATGAATCTGATTGGTAATCATGATTGTATTCTATGTTTATCCCTGAGTGTTTAATCTTAAGATAAAGGGTTCCTACTACTGCTTTGGTGGATCATACCCACTCAAATTACCAGTTCCGTTCACAAAACCTGTTTGGTTGAATATGAGGAGAGAGATTACTGAATTTCAGTTTTCTTTGGCTTTTTGAAGAACTATAGTAAGTATGAGCTAATAAATTTAAAAATCCCGCCCTTTTTAAAAAATAATCCACAAGAAATAAAAAAATGTGACAAACTCATAATAATGCATGGATTTTTGGAGTTACATTACAACTGTACATAAGGCATATATAGAAAAGAAAGGTTGCATCCAGCGCATTATGCATGAAGGACGTAAATGTTACATTTTTGGCATTTACAAGAATGATCACACTATTTACTATAATCACTGTACGAATCTATCACCGCTCAATATTGGAAATAATTTCTTCCCAGTAGTCAACATTTAGCTTTGTGGTTTCTATGTCCTTTTCAGAGTAGGGTAGATTACTGGTTCAAAATCTCATGTTTCATTGTAGCATACCCATGGAAAGGATACGTTGGGAAGGCCAAACTTGTGGAAAGATTTACTCCGCATGGTTTTTAATGTTTCCTTATTTTTATTCACAATTTGGAGTAAGGTTGTCCTGAATTTTACTATATTCATCTTAGTTAATAATCTTTGTTCTCAAATTTTCTCTTGTTATTGCATCTAGAATAATTCTAGTGACTGACACATTAGGGTCAGTTGTTACTTGTAGTGGCTTAATCTGGAGAGAGGTTTTTGTTTATGAGTAGCTAGGAATTTTAAACCAAATTTACTACATTTATTTTGGCACTGTAGCTTTATTGACTATCGTCCATAAATGCTTCAGTTTCATGTTATATGCAATCATTTATACAATACCTTGTATTTGGTTCATGCAGGTTATGGGATCTCCAGCTTGAAGTAGTTGGAGCTGCTTAAGTACGTGTTTCAAGGATTTGTGGTTTCAGAACTACCTTTTACTTTGATACATCTCTAATGGATTCAGAAGTGTAGAGAAATGGTCTTAAATTTTGAATTTATAAGAACATGGAGGGGACACGAGAAGATGCACGATCGGTGGAGCAAAGGCAATCCAATGTGTCACACTGGCCTTCAGATTTCGTTGGAAAATTTGGATCTGTTTCTTTGGGAACTCAAGATGAGACCTTAAATAATAGAGAATCACCTAGATATTCTAACCAAGATTTTACGTCACCTCAGAGGGCATCACAAATTCTCTGGCACACTGGAATGCTATCAGAACCAATACCAAATGGTTTTTACTCAGTTGTTCCGGTGAGGATTGATTCATAATATATTACTTTACTAGTCAGGATATGTAATTGCACTTGGTATGAATGCATGAGCTTGGAGTATTTTGGTTGATCATGTCATGTTATGAATTGGAGATATTGATTGATTTGGTATGATTTAGAAAAGAGTTTACATGAAAACAAAGTTTCATTAATTAGTTGTGACTTGAGAATAATTAATTGAGTTGGAACTCCTAATTATTGTCTCCCGGGAGGAAAACACAAAATGAAATATCAATGTTCATTTACTCATATCATTTTTGAGAATTTTTTCTTTGATTATCTTCACGTATTGTTCTTTCTTGATAATAAATTTTTAGTAAAAATTGGTAAAGAAGACCCATAAGTGAAGCAGCTCTTTTTATGAAACTTCAGACTTATTCGAAGTTTATAAAATACAGCAATGAGCTCAAGTAGTAATTTAGGCTGTGCAATGAACTTGTGAAATCACATGTTTACTTTGCTTGTTACAAACTTGGGGTGAAGAAAAGAACTTGTATTTAGGCTGTGCAAAATAGTTAGTTATTATGGTATCATACACTATCACAAGAGGTTACTTGGTCATACTAGCTATTTACTTTATAATATAGTTATAGAGTGCAACATTATGCTCATACTAGCTATTCCTTGAGTTCATATGTGTTATCCATGTTCTTGATGTGTAACCAAGATGTTTTTCTCAACATTTTTCATTGTCATTAACTAATCTGATGATTTGCAGGAGAAAAGGCTCAAGAAACTTTTTGATAGTATTCCTACTCTGGATGATCTTCAAGCTTTGGGTGGAGAGGGTTTTAAGGCTGATGTCATTGTTGTGGATGCAAAGAAAGATAGAAAGTTATCTATGCTGAAGCAACTAATTGTCACATTGGTCAAAGGATTGAGCACAAATCCAGCTGCAATTATTAAGAAGATAGCTGGATTAGTATGTACTTTTATTGTATCTTATTTTGTAGCTGTTGTTTATTGTTTTAAGATTTTCTCATATATCATTATGTTCCGTTACAGTCATTCGATACGATTTTTTCCTTGTGCAAAAAACTACTTTAAAATGTCAAATTATTTTCCAAAATAGTCCCATTGTCAATTTCAAGAGACTTGTTATTCATAGTTTCTACCTTTTGATTTTAGTCAGCAGCAACTTATTTCAATTAAATTATTCCACCTTAATTATCAATCACAAGTTTGTTGGTAGGCATTAATGTCAATTATCTGAAGTAATTTCCTTTATTTGATATTTATTTTATTTTTTTAACTTAGTAAAAACTAAAAAGGTGCTTAGCATTTACTTCGATCTTTATTCTTGCACAGGTTTCCGATTTCTACAAGCGGGCAAATGTTGATAGTCCAGCAAAAGCTGCACTCGAAGAATCCTCTCACATGTTTGAAAGTCGTGGCGTCCAGATGCTGGGGCAAATAAAGCATGGTTCATGCCGTCCTCGAGCTATCTTATTTAAAGTATTAGCAGATACTGTAGGTCTTGAAAGTAGGCTTATGATGGTAAGCTCTAGTTTATTTTGGTTGTTATAAACAGCAATTACTCCCTGCCTTACTCTTGTTTAGCGATGTTTTCAGTCTAAGGATGGTATATTTAGCAAAAGAACTAATGATAAATATTCAATGTTTTTTACTATCATATCTAGTTTTGAAGGATTCCTGTTTCTCTTCATCAGGGTTTTCCAAATGAGGGGGCTGCTGATTGTGTAGACTCTTACAAGCATATGTCTGTGATAGTTGTGTTAAATTCTGTGGAACTGCTGGTTGATCTTATGCGCTTTCCTGGCCAACTGTTACCGCGATCAATCAAATCAATTCTTATGACACACATTTCTGCAGCGGGAGAGAGTGATTCAGCAGAAAATGATTCGTGTGATTCACCATTAGAACCAAACAGTCCTTTATATGGGGTTTCAGAGAGGTAAGATCTTGAGAGTTTGGAAACTGTTACGTTTTTTTTTTTGCTTTGGCTTAATTACATTTTTGTACCTTTTTAGTTTCTCAAAATTTTACCGTCCACTAATTCTAATTTCTCCAATTTAACAATCTAGTACTTATATATGAGGCTGCATTTGTGTCCCACATTACCAAGATTTCCAAGCTGTGTGCAGTGCTTAAATGTGTTTGGGCACTCTCATACTTTGAGTTAGCTTTTAGGAGTTAGATTTAAGCCCATTTAACATGATATCAGAACTGGATTTTGCTAGAATAACAATTAAGCTTTTTGCATTTGCATTTTGAATTGCAACTTCTAACTAAGCATTGGCCGAATGAACTTTAAGCCACCTGTTTTGTCCATTAAAAGAGTTGTTAATTGACTTATATTGATTTTATTGGTCTTCCTTACAGTGCTGAAAAAGATGACAATCTCCAATTTCATAGAAGATTTGATACTTTAAATGTACCTGGTCCTACCTTGCGAAGCATGATGTTACGATCAAATTCCAATCTTGAAGGGAAATTAAGGTAATATTTCCCTTGCTAGATCTCTTGCTTTGGTTTTTTTGTCGTGTTATTTTTGTTCAGTAAAAGAATCTATTCTCTATCTTTTTCCCTTTTCACCTTAAAGTGTTGTTTTTCATTATGATTCGCTTAGTTTCTATTGCTAGATTTCTTCAAGAAGTAGAATAATAACTGTTTTGTGTGAAATGATTTTGTCAATTTTCTCAGTCTGTCTCATAGTGAACCCAACATTGCAACTTCATTTGGTCGGCGCAGTCGAAGAAAGGTCATTGCTGAACAGAGGACTGCTAGTTCAAGGTTATTCCTGATTTGCGGTTTTTGCATTGATATATGTATGCATTTTAGGTTCAAAACAATTTTTTGGTATTGCTCATGATCTTTGCTATTGTTACTTTATAGATCATGGCACTTTAAAACTTATCTTGATTTTGATTTGTCAAAGCATTTTATTTAACTTGGCCCTATTTCATGAAGGAGCAAACCAGTTTTAAAAAATAATGCTATTACAATCATAGTTCTGTGAAACTAGTTATATTTTTTAATTTAAATAAATCATGCTGATTTAGATTTTATTCCTAGAGCAGAGATGCTAATTTTATTAGGGATATTCTTACTTACACTGCTTGCCTTATTTTCTGAAGCTTGTGCACGTGATGATATTAGAGGTCTGTATAATATGCTGACTAGTAGAATCATTCTAATTATTTGAATTAGATGGACTTTGTAGATAAATTACCATATTGTCTTAAATATATCTTTTCAATTTTTCTATTCAAATTTATCCGAAATTCAGCTTTTCTGATTAACGGTTTAATCTCCGATTATCTAATGGGTGAATTAAATAAAACCATACTCTGCTACAAATTTTTCCTAGTTTGAAGTATTGAATCTTCCAATGTAGTACGCACTTACATGTGCATGTGGCTGTATATCGTCCATATATATGCTTGCATGTACTTTCTTTTCAGCATGATTTTTGTTTTTGTTAAAATACGAGAGACTAAGAGAGACTTAAATAAATTGTGTGACTTTATTATTGTTAGTTTAATGGCAGAAAAATAACAAATAAAGAGGCAGAAAACGTTAAAGGAAAGGAAGTCGTATATTTGATCAATAGTACGTTACAATAAATAATGCAAAGGAAAACTGAAAGCTATCCCACGTAACCAGGGTTTTAGGGAATTGAATAAGTAAACTAATTTGCTCCTAAAGTATAGCAACTACTACTAGCTTGCTCCTAAAATATAACAACCACTAATTGACTAAGTTGCTAAAAAAACTGAAACAATAAAATAAAATAGTAATAATAAATCTAGCGGTTACAAAAACACATGTTAATACTCCTCCTTGCTTTTGGAACTGCAAACTCTAATCCGTTGCCTTAGATATTCAAATTTGTTGATAGGTAATGGCTTTGTAAACATGTCAGTCAATTGATCTTCAGACTTGCAATAAACTAAATTTACTTCTCCACTTTGCTGCATCTCTCTCAAAAAATAGAGTTTGATGTTGAAATGTATAGTCTTCCGTGACATACTGGATTGTTTGCAATAGCAATTGTAGCCTGGTTGTCAACAAAAATTTCTATTTTGTTCTTTTGCTGCAAAAATAAGTCACATAAAATCTTCTTCAACCATAAAGCTTGATTTACAGCGGCTGTTGCTGCTATAAATTCAGCCTCAGCGGTGGATTGTGCTACAATCTCTTGCTTCTTTGTGCACCATGAGAATACTCCCGAGCCTAGACTGAAATAGTATCCTGAAGTGCTCTTCATATCAACAATGGATCCAACCCAATCACTATCAGAGAATCCATACAACTTGAATTCTTGACACTTATCAAATTTGACTCCATAATCAATAGTGCCTTTAACAAATCTCAATATTCTTTTTGGTGCTTGCAAATGAATTTCATTTGGACAGTGCATAAAACGAGACAAGAGACTTACCGCAAATAGAATGTCCGACCTTGTTGCAGTGAGATACATTAGACACCCAATCAAGCTTATGTAATATCCTTCATCAATAATTTCAGCACCATCATCCTTGCTCAACTTCTCCTTTTGATTCATTGGTGTGCTAACAGATTTGCATTCCTCCATTTGAAATTTTTTCAAAATTTCCTTTGCATATTTTCTTTGACAAATTAACACTTCATTCTCACTTTGTTTGATCTCAATTCCAAGAAAATAGGTCATGAGACCAAGATCTGTCATTTCAAAAGCTTGCATCATCTCTTGCTTGAACTCGTCAACTAGCCTTGCGTCATCTCCTGTCACTAAAAGATCATCCACATAGAGGGAAACTATGAGAAAATTATTTCCCTTATGTTTCACATAAAGAGTGGACTCGGATAAGCTTTTTGCAAAACCTATGCTCAATAAGTGATCATTAATCTCGCTGTACCAAGCCCTTGGCGCTTGTTTGAGGCCATAGAGAGTCTTTTTTAGAAGATAAACTTTATCTTCTTCACCTTGCTTCATGAATCCTTCTGGCTGGTCTACATATATTTCTTCATGTAGCTCTCCATTTAAAAAAGCTGATTTAACATCTAACTGAAATATTTTCCAGCTATTTTGCACAGCAACTGCTAACACCAATCTAATTGTATCTAATCTGGACACAGGAACAAACGTGTCAGAATAATCAACACCAAAAATTTGTGCATACCCTTTAACTACGAGTCTGGCCTTGTGCTTGTTGATTAAGCAATTTGCATTAAGCTTTGTTATGAAAACCCATTTAACTCCAATGACATTTCTATTTCCAGGCCTGTCAACCAGCTTCCATGTTTTGTTTTTCTGTATCATGGACATCTCCTCCTCCATTGCAATTTTCCATTTCTGTTCCTTTTGTGCTTCCTCGCAGCTAGCAGGTTCACAAACTGCTACATTACATCTTTGATAGATGTCAGATAACAACCTTTTGCCTCTGACTGGAGGATCGTCTTCTAATTCATCCTGCAATAACTCTGTTGTTTGCTGTCCCGGATGCTTATCATCAACGTTGCCAAATAGTTTAGTTGTTCTTTGTGAGTTCTCCCAATTCCGTTGTTGTTCTTCATTAAAGTGCACATCTCTAGTAACTGTCATCTTTCCGGTTTGAGGATGATACACTTTGTAGGCCTTTGAAACAGAACTGTAACCCACAAAGATGCCCGAAGTTGCCTTCTTGTCAAGTTTGTCACGCTTAGCCTGTGGAACATGTGCAAAACAAACACAACCAAACACCTTAAGAAAGGTTAGTGACGGCTTATACTCATACCAAGCCTCAAATGGAGTTTTATCCTTCAAAACTTTGGTTGGGAGCCGATTTTGGAGAAAAACTGTTGTGTTAGCCGCCTCTGCCCAAAATGTTTTAGGCAACTCCTTCTCATGCAACATGCATCTAGCCATCTCCATCACCGATCTATTTCTCCTTTCACTAACCCCATTTTGCTCTGGAGTGTAAGGGTCTGTGAGTTGATGCTCAATACCAGCATCTTCACAAAATTGATTAAATTTTGTTGATGTATACTCTGTCCCATTGTCAGATCTTAAACATTGAATCTTGCAGCCACTTTGAGTTTCCACCATTTTCTTGAACTTCATAAATACTCCAGCCACTTCATGCTTAAATTTCAAAAAAAATATCCAGCACATTCTTGTAAAATCATCTATGAAAAGAATGAAATATAGACTACCTTGTAGTGATGGTGTTCTTTGGGGTCCTGCCACATCAGTGCGAACAAGTTGTAACTTTTGAGAAGCTTTCCAAGCTGATTTGGGGAATGATTTTCTTATTTGTTTACCAAATTGACAAGCATTACAATTTGGTAAATTATCAGAAAGTAATGGCAGACCTCTTGACATGCCTTTTCTTTGCATGTTCAGCATTCTTTCAAGATGGCAATGGCCAAGTCTCTTATGCCAGAGTTCTGTGGGACTGACTAGAGCAAAACAGACCGCCTGCTCCTCCTCTGTTGGATCAAATGAGAAGCTTTTACCTCTCATTTTATCCCGTAGAACTTCCCGGCCAACAATGTCGTAGATAAGACAATGTTGATTTTCAAAGGATACTTTAAATCCCTTTTTAATCAATCGACCTACACTTAGCAAGTTTTGGTCAATGTCGGGTACATAAAGAACATTAGATATAATTTTGATACATGAACACGTTTAAATTGCAATGGTTCCTTTTCTTTTTGCAGTAATATAGCCACCATTCCCTATTTTGACCTTTGAAACATTAGTGGGCTTCAAATCCTTGAATAGAGTAGAGTCTTGTCATATGTCATGTGGTTCGTACAATCACTATCAATCAACCAACATTCAGAATTGCTCCTTGTCGAATAACATGTTGCAGCAAAAATATAATCTTCTTCATCTTGCTCAACAACTTGGGCATTGGCTTCATGTTGCTGCTAAAATTTGCTCCTACAAATTATAACTTCATGTCCAAGCTGATTGCATTTAGTACACTTTGCGTCTGGTCGTTTCCAACATTTGTATGGTGGGTGACCCAATTTTCCGCAGTGCTGACAAGGTGGGTAGTTTTTCTTTTTACCCCTACCATTGTTTTAGTTGTTTGTACTATTTTCGTTGCTTGATGGCTGGTTCTTGACATACTTCTTTCTATTGGTTTCCCCGTAATGGTGCTTGGCTTGTAAAGCACCTTCGACTGCACCATCTTGTCTCATCAACCTTCGCTGCTCTTGGGACTACATAACACTTACGAATTCCGCCAATGTGATCTTTGAAAGATCCTTAGTATTTTCCAATGAAGTAATAGAAGCTTCAAATTTTTCAGGAGCAGTCACTAGTATTTTCTGCACTATTCTTGAATCTGAAAGGTCAGAACCTAACAACCTCACCTTGTTAGCAATGTTAAGAAGTCTGTTTGCATACTCCTTGATTGTTTCAGACCCCTTCATTTTCTGCATCTCAAATTCTCTAACCAGATTCATTGCTTGTATTCCCTTGATTCTTTCATCTCCTTCATATTCTTCCTTGAGGAAATTCCAGATCTCAAATGCCGATTTGATCGTCATGATTCTGGTGAAAATGTCTTGTGAGACAGCAACAAGCAAAGTAGCTCTTGCCTTTGACTTACTTGCTTTCTTCTCCTTGTGATTTTTTATCTGAGCCATAGTTGGATTGTTCGGTAAAGGAAGAATTTCATAGTCTTCCTCAACGGCTTCCCAAAGGTCATTTGCTTCTAGGTGAGCCTCCATTCTTGTTGCCCAGATGTGATAATTATCACCGTCAAACACAAGCAGTGCTAGTTTTGTGTAAGGAGTTTCAGAATCCATCTGTTTGA